CCTTCACCTAGCAAGAAGAATGACATCAGGTGGCAGGAGGGCCTCAGAGAAAGAATGATATTCAGTTCCCTCCTCACTCTTTACACATTATTTTTTAATTTAATGTGGTGTAGGTATACTACAGCCAGGGCTTCCTAATCAGTGTAAATAATTTATTTACTCCTAGGTACTTTATTGACATAAAGAACATGAAGTTATAGATAATGGCCCCAAACTAGTCCAGAATCAATCAGGAGAGCCAGTATCCCACCACTGTGCTCTGTCTCATGGTACCAGTAGTATTTGGATTTTCCTAGTCTCCCCTCTGGATAATGGGGATACATAACTACAAAGAAACAATGGCAACATTACGCTATTCATTTTTTTGTCTCGTTAGTCCATGATAACTGGAAACCCAAAATTATAAGTAATGGTTGAGATTTTGCTATTAATACCACAAGATACCAGGAGACCCAAACCAGAGACCAGAAATCCCTTTTTTTTTTTTTTTTTTTTTTTTTCCAACGTAAAACATTATATGTGCAAAGACTTGAGCAATCAGTTTACTATACACTGTGGGCTGCCATGTTAATTTTTGCAGAGGAAGGCATATGTGGAATTGGGTCATAGCACTTCACATAGTCAAACTTGTGTAAGATGCAAAGCCATAAATCCCAGTAACATCTTTGTAAAGTAAACACAGTGAAGTAAATTCAGTGTTACATATACAGATGTATATATGTTCTAATATGCAATTATTGAACCCTTGAAGTTATTCTTAATGGAGATAGCAAGATCACAAAGACTACATAGCAAAGTGGATGCCTACCTCAGTCTTGGTATCATCAGCAAATGGTACCACAAGAATGAGACAGCAAAGTCAGTAAATCTGTCTTCATTTGTATTCTCTTTCAACTTCAGTTGCATTTAACGGAAGCCCATTTACTGCAGTGGCATTTGAAAATTACCCTTAGCAGAAACTGCCATCAGGTTTAATGAGGGTAACTGGAGTATGTGCAGCAGTGCATGATGTGTGTTATTTTCACTCCTGTTACTCTACAAAAAGCAATCATCTCCTTTCTTCTCTCTCATCAGCAGTCCCTATTCATCCTCTCATACAGTTCAAGCTTTTTGTATTATGACATTGACTCCTTCAGTTTTCTTCTTAAACTAGATCCTGGTTTGGTACACAGCACTGATGCTCTGCTGAGCTCCAAACATTGTTCACCTATTTATGCCAGCAGTAGTTATCGCTGTCCCATATATTTTGCAGTATTTGAGGGTATTTCACTGCATTATTTATCAAAATAATCCTTGCATGAATTGAGAGCAGGTTTTTGTGCTAGGCCCAGAGCTTTCATTGTAACTGTTTGGATGATCCTGTAGTCTTTCAGCCAAAGTCAGTGTTGGAGGGAGAGGCAGCACTGGGAGAGGAACCTTTTTTGCATGTCTACAGCAGCTCCTGAGATGATCTGTGTGAAATGCATGTTGCTCTTGGAGCTTTGCTTGATTTAAGATCCTAAGCTTTGGAATAACTGCTCCTAATATTTTTCTGGGTTTGAGAGTTTGGATTTTTTATGCTTTGTGTTGAGAAAAGTTCTGCTGACAGAAAAGGCAGCTTTGTTCTCCACTCAGCATTCCTTGTGTGCTTTCTATAGGACCATCACAATTACCCTCAGAGAATTTTGCTTAACTAAACATATGCCTTTATTGAGATTTTTACAGAAGGATGTCGTTAGAATGTTCTTTATTATTTTCTTTCTTCAAAATGCATAATAGTGTCAAATACTTCCAGACCCATCTCAGTGGTACTGCAGGGTTTGTGGATCGCACGGCTATATTGAGCATCTTCCATTACTTGCCAAGAGTAACAGTGACACCCTGTGGCCCATTTGCCAGAGGACTGCCACCGAATTGCTGTTACTGTTTCTTTTCAAATTCACTTCTGAATTTACACTGTGGGGAGTGTAAGAGGAGGAATCCCTGCTCTACATGTAAGAGAGATTCTCGATTTGCCATGTGTCTCTGATTAGATGTTTCCATTACTGAAATGTGTGTCTCATGAGCACTTAGGTCTTCGATATAGAGAACACTTTCTCACCCTGATGGCTAAATACTTGGGAAAGTAGAGCAGGAAATATAGATACTGAGAAAGGAAGACATTACAGTCTGGTGTTACAGGAGAATGCTGCTGTTCATTATCTTTCATACCATTTTTCTCTAACATGGAAGATGTCCACTGATCTGTGTCAGTATGTAATGACAAAATATCCACAATATAAAACTACAGCTCATGAAGATCATCCTGTTAACATCTTACTCACATCATTCCTTTGATTTGCTTAAGGAATCTAAATAACACATTTGCTCTGTAATGACTGACATAATTCTGTTTCCAGTAGAGTCCTTCACTGCACAGGACTGTAGGTCCCGTGTTATCACATACTAAGGCAAAAGGCATGTACTCCAGTTAAAAAAAATGAATGAGTTTGTCCTTTGAGACTTGCTATTGCATTCAAGCAACATAGCTGACTGAATGCTGTGGTCTGTACCCTGCAGGTCATCTAAGCCTCATGACAAATATGTGACTTCCTTTCAAAACTGAGTAGTTAGAACACTTTGTGAAAAGGCTGGAACACGGGCAGGCTACACTTGTGTGTGTCTGTGTGTACATCCAGGCCTAGCTCACCCTTTTGGTCTGTCTTTTTCCAGCATACAGGTCCCCATAACCTGGGCCTCCTTCTGTGTAGCACTTCATAGAATCATAAAATCCTTTAGGTTGGAAAATACCTTTAGGATCATTAAGTTCAACCATTAACCAATTCCACTGCTAAACCCTGTCCCTAAGCACCACATCTACATAACTTTTAAACACATCCGGGGATAGTGACTCCACCACTTCCTTGGGCAGCCTGTTCCAGTCCTTGACAACCCTTTTGTGTGGAGAAATTTTTCCTGCTATCCAACCAAACTTTTGATACTCCCCTTATACACTGTGAGGCCATTTCCTCTCATTCTTGTTGTCTTGCACCCTCCTTCCCAGAGCTGCCCCAGCCCTCCCCTGCTGCCCCATCACTTCTCTAGCCCTGCTGCTGCCCACCCCCTATACCCTCATGTGGTGCCAAGGCACTGCTTGGCACTACCTCACATTTCTCTATTGTTTTATGAGGACTTTTAGTTATTTGCTTTATCTAAGATTAGGAAAAAATATTTTCAAAACAGCAAAAGTAAAACTAGATACATTTTTATATATTTTTTATATCTGGATGAATCACACAAGATTTGTACAAGAGAAACATTTTATTGAAGTCCTGTATAACTTGTTTCTTCGATTCCTTGGATGCTGTTCATATCATACCACATTGTCTCAGGTACAAATTTCCAATTACAGAAGAAAAATGTTGTGTATTCATTCCATGTCCTTTTGCTTCTTTCTTTGTGTTTTGTTGTTGGTTTTTGTTGTTTTATTATTATTATTATTTATTTTTTTAAACACCAGTGATAGCTTTTCCAATGCACATGGCTAAATATTTAAGACTGCTTAAAGATTACAGACATTAAGAAATAATGTATTTTTAACACAATTCTTAAGGAATATCTGCAAGCATTTCATTGTCTACCTTTAGTGAACTTAGCTGCCATTGCAAATATATTTCACAGCACATGGGTGATACAGAACAGGAATAACAGAGAGCACTGGAAGCCAGAGCTGCAAAAACTTCATGTGTCTTTGATACATTTCATTACTTTCAACTATATAGGAAGTGAATATAAACATATGTGCTAATCCTGTAGAGATGTGTGCGTTTTCTTGACTTTTGCACACTGCACTCTCCTACTGAACTTAATGTGTTCAAGTTTGTTTATTTCTAATATGGTCACTCTGTGGGACAAACCTTATTTTACGGAAGTGATGAGAATTTGGCCACTGATTTTCTAAACAGAAATATGGTTTTGCAATTCTGACTGAAAGAAAGGTCCATTGAAGACAGTGCAGAGACGTCCTTTTAATTTATTTATACTGACAGTAATGCATGTGTAGATTGATAGTATTTTTGTATATTAATTACTGTTAATAGTATAAATTAATATAATACTGGCTGAAGTCCTTTATTCTGCATGAGTGCTTAATCCTGCATGATTTACAAACATGAGCAGCAATATCAATCCATGAATTAAGATATAAAATCAACACATATTTATTTTCCTGTCTAGGTTAATATGCCATATGGGTGCTGATTTTCATTATGTAATTTGTGCTGGAAATGGAAATAAGCACCATTATTATTCCAAAATACTGTTAATGCAATTAGCAATTTAAATCTACCTAATTATTAAAGTCTACTTAAATTTGAAGAATTAGTTTTACTTCAATTAAAATGTCTAAGCAGATCATAAGCTGCGTTTCATTTTACATCACGTTCTCCAGACTATATGAGATTACCATCTTCTCTTCTGTTTTAAAATCCTTGTATGTTTTTACCAACATAATGAAACAAGTCACAGGAACACATGCCAGTTCTAAAATGCTCTATATACATCTTTTATCTTGTCTCAGCTCCACTTGGTTATTCATTTTAGAAGGTCACAATGTTTAAGACCACATGAGTTAAATTTCTTACGTTATTCATGAATCATCTCAGTCTACAGCTACATTATATAACACTACTTAGTTCACACACACAAACATGGAAAGTATTTGCAAAACTAAACAAAGATTTTCTGATAGTATCTCAGATTTGACAAGTGGTCTGTTTAGTGCCAATTCTGGCTCCCCAGGTGGTCAATAGTAGATAAAGTCACTCTAAAACTGTCCATGGATTCAGCTTGTATCAAGATGGAGAACCTTGCCAAACTTGATAATCAACAAATGTTACCAACTTTTTGTTTGTTTTAAAGCAGTGTGTGTGCGGGTGCTTTTATATATATATACGTACATATAAAAGTATATACCTGCCTGATCAAGACTATGAAACCGGGGAGCACTGAAATGCCTTTAGCAAATTAGGTGCCAGCTTCACCAATATATTACTCCAGTTTTACACTGTGGTTAATCTCCTGAGAGCAACTAGAGTAGTGCAGTGGCAAATCAGCACCTCAGCCCATAAAAGCTTGATCTTTGAGGAGCTTGCATTTACTTCTTTGAGTAAACATACAGATGGACCTGTGCAACAGCAGCATGTCATTTGGTACATGCGTTTAATTTGGAACAGGATTATAATCTGCCTCTTTAGTCAGGTAAACGTTAATCCCTCAGACAAAAATCTTACAGTCATGGTCCAGCCTCTCCCCATGTTGGAACCTCCAGCTTCATTTGGTGGATCTGCTTCTGTAGTTCATCTTTGTCCAGCTTCATTTTTGCTTCTAGAACTTGCCGCAGAGACCCAATGCTCTCATAGATAGCTGCAAATCCTAATTGCAGGGGAGAATTAAATTAGTTCATAATCTAAAGAAAGAGTATCACATAATTACTATCAGAATGCATTTCCTAACATAAAGCTCTGCTTTATGATTAAAAGTTCTGAAGAAAAATAGGATTGTAATTGTGTGCTGATGGCAAAAACAGCCAAGCCTGGGGAGAGCACTTCTAAGCTAGCAAGACATCACCTCTTGTTGCTGTGAATTTCATACTTAGTGAAAATCCTTTTTAATGCCCCAAAGTCTTTAAACTACTTGGATACATGCAAAGATATTTTGCATATTATTGTAGGTCAATCATTGTTACCACAATTCAGAATAAAGAACTTGGTAACTTCAGTCCTACCAGCATTAACTTCAGCTTTCATTTCTTTTATATCTTCATTAATCTCATTTTGAAGTTTATCAATGCGAATATTTATCTTTTCTTCAGTCTGTTTTGCTTCGTGTGCTTCTATAGTTATCTTCTGTATTTCTTCTATTTTGTCAATTTTCTCAGCCATTTGGTTGAATTTCATCTCTATAGCTCTTTCATTCATTTCCTGGAGCCGGGAAAAAGAATTTCTGTTATTTACTCTGCATATGAAATTACAGTAGTCTTTCCCAAATATGCAATAGATATTGATTAATCATCTTTTATGTGGAGTTCAAAGGTGTAAGGAATTATATTTTTTTATTAAAGTGTTTTAACTGACTGGATTACTGTCTATTTAGAAGTGACTGGACTTATTTGAAGACTCTCAGGCTGTGAGGATGCTATACTCGACATTAGTGAAAAGACTTACACAGATATGGAGGAGGTCTGAAATTCTCATTCAAATAATATCTGTTATTAGTAATGCTTTTGAATACTTCCTGAGAAGTATTATAAGGACATTTTAATGGAACTTACGGTGTTTTCCTTAAAAGTCAGTGAGAGTTGGTCTATTTTTTGCACAAGCTCTTTTTCAATCCTTTCACGTTCCTGCTCCAACCAGCTACGTGTAGACAAAATCTGGCTGCTGAGCTCCTCAATCGCGTTTTTCAATCTAAGCATAACGGAAATTAGAAGATATAAAAGAGCAGAACTTTTGGTCATTCAGCAGTGACTTTTTTATAATCATGTTCATAAAAACAATTAATGACAATTAGAAACATTCTTGACACCATATTAAAGTGAATCTTCGAACTTTACAGCTAGTAAGCTGGATAAGCTGTTCTAGAAAACAAAGATGAAAGAGCACAACAAAATAGCAGTTAATTATACAAAACCCATCACAATATGTTGATTATGATTGTTGTGTCTGTACATCTTAAATCTGAACAAAGATGTGGTATCCATTTATTTTAGTGCCAATGCTGCTTCATATAGCCCCACTTATCTTGCCTATATCCACCTCAAGTTTACACCAACCAGTTGTGCCAGTGATGCTGTTTCTTTAGACAGTATTTTTACCAGTGAAAATTGGAAATGTGGCTCTATTCTTTCATCTGGTTTGCAAATAGTTTTACTGACATAATTGATGGGATTGCATGAGCATGGCAATAAGCACCAAGAAGAAAGGATGTGGATGGCTTAAACCAGGACTGCTACTGAGTGAAATGCCTGGAGAGGAGGTAATACCTGACGTATCTCTGTATAGTGTCAAGAGTAGCACAGTAGCTTGTCATTAATAAATTAGGTATTTGAATTATATATTTGTATGTCGTGCCAATTTAAAATCCTAACACTTTGACAATGCAGTGCCTTGCTTCCTGGTTCCTTGAGTTGAACTTTTTGCCCTGCTCTTGACAGCCACCTCCAGCATTTGTTGCTTCCTACAGTTTTTGCAGAAAGGTACCAGGGCACTCCCAAATTCCTTAGTTGCTTTCTTTAATGCAAATTCTGCCTGAATACTTAACTAGGGACTTAAGAGGGATTTTCAAAATTGCCTATAGACATTGGGAGCAGAATGATTGTCGAAAAAGAGTCCCACTAGACAGACCATTGTGCTTTTGTAATATTTGTTGAGCACGTGTACATATTTAATCAGGTTCATGCTTTTGTAGACCTAAAGATTACAACAGTCAAGGTTGGAAAACTGAGGCCGTGTCTGGCGAGGCACACAGCAGCACCAAGGTTTCCTGGGCACTCACTTCATATCCAGGAGGTGGAGCTGTTGGTTGCTCTCTTTGTAAGCAACCTTCAGCTTTGCTTCTTGTTGCATTATTGATTGCTCTACTCTGCTCAGAAGATGAGAAATCTGAAACAAAATTTAGAATTTATTGTTTTTCAACAGCATTTCATCACAGTCTCATTTGGGATGTTCTCATAAAGGTAGAGAAGATTTTAAAGGCCGTTTTTGCTGACATTTCAAGAAGTATTGAATTTACATGTTTTGCTTTATAAGGAAAAATATACTATCTTTGAAGATTAAAGTATCAGTACTGTGAAAACTGTAATTTTTCGGCCATAAGTAATTTTAAATCTTGCCTTTAAAGCATCTGCCAGCTCCCCACTTTGAGATAACTGAATTTTCACAATCTCCACATTGTGACATAAGCAGAGTAAATGAATGGCAAATCACTCCACCGATACTGAATTACATTCATCACTTCGTGTATAATGGCTATTGCAGTGACAAGAGTGATGGGTTTAACTGGGGATAGGTCATTACTAGCAGAAAATATTTCTCACCAAAATAATTAGCCGATTTTACAAAACATGCTGTTCTGTTTTACAAGATTCATGACAATATGTTCCTATTGTGCTGGCATGCTAATATACTATACTGAGTCTTCCAAGAAGGGTAAAGTGGATTTTAGCCATGTATCTACTGCAAAATGAAGATGTAAAATACTTTTGTTGCCTAAGAAAATAGGAAGGCCTTGAGATGGAGATTTGATTAATCCTTTTCCTTAATGTCCTAAGTCTGTGCTTGTATCTGGTGCTCAATTCCATTCTCATACACAATGGAAAAGAAAACTTATGGGCCGGTTAATGGATTGTCGAAACCCAAAAGCAGTTGTTTGGGGTTTTTTTGCAGACCTTCGAAAATTGTGTTCAGATACATATCAAATCATCCTGGGAGGAGCAAAACATCCAGGGAGAGACACTGATCCTTGCATTGTTGTGGTAGTTTTATAGAGCAAACACTTCAGGTTCAGAGTCCAACTTCAAGAAGCCATTCAGGCCAGAAATCACTGACTTCAGTTCATTCTTGGAGTCCTTTCAGGTGCCTTTAAATACTACACCCCTTCTACACAGAATGCAAAAGGCAGCAAATTAAGGACCTTTTTTCAGTTAGACCAGTGCAGTAATGCATCCAGGTACCAATATTCAATCTAATAAGACTGTGAGAAGATACACCTCTCCTTTTGTAAACCTGTGCCCTTCTAGGATGATTTACAGTAAGGGAATCAGAGTGAATTAAACTATATCTCTTACCCGTACGTGGATCAGTTTGGTCCAAATACCATACCTGTATTTCTGCCTCTTTGATTTTAGATTCTAAGATCAGCTTGGAGGTGTGTTGGTCTTTACATAGGCTCTGAAGTCTTTCGTACGTAATTTTATGCTCTGCAGACAGCCTGGCTAACCCAGCATCACACCTGTTCAAGTATATAAATACCAAAGCAGCAGCTGAATAGACTATAAGGTCAATGCTTTTTAAATTATCATTTCTAGACTGGACATTTCTGAAATTGCTGGCTGTCTACTGAAACGGAGTCTTAATGAGTCTGCAAGAATGGTGATATATCTCATAGTACTCAGCAAACTGCTCCCAAATGGGACTAAAGGTCAATCAGTCTGACACACACGCTTATGTTATCTTGGCACTGAGACAGGATATATAGCCTGGGTTGTTACCAGTCAGGGAAATCCCATTAGAAATGCAAAGATGCAGAATGTCAATAACTTGTATTTTTGCCATGCTTCAAAAGACATATGTTAAGGTGTGTATGATTTCACATACATGATAAGAAGCCTAAATAATTCAGGACCATTTTTACATTATTGTAGCTGTGTTCCTTTGAGTTTTACATTCTTTCTTTTATTTGCGAAATAGCAGTATACAATGAATATGTCTAATTAGCAATGGGGGGCAAATTTTAGAGTTATTAGTCTTTATTTAGGTAAAACTCTCATTGAAAGCAATGATAATTTTGTCTCACAAAAGACTATGAAATGCAGTTCTGGAACATAATAATTATTGTTTCTTTTCTTCACATTGGAACATTTTTTGATACTGTAACATTTTCAGGATAAATGTGCTATAGAATATGTGCAGTTTTTACCACTTATCAAAAATGCCTTGGTCAGGTGGATTTCATTGACAGTAATACAAGAAGGTTATTAACTGAGCTGTAAAAATAGAAGTACTATAATTTTAGGAGTAAGGCCTCTGTGAAGTATGAGTCATGCATAATTTTTTTTGCTAAGGGAAATAGGCAATGTTATCAAATTCGATCTGTGGAACTGATGGAGAATGGAGAGAAGTTACAATTTAAGGAAGACAAAAGGCAGTAAAATGAGACAAGCTAAGACACGTTAAGTCATTACCTAAAGCAATGCCACATTTAAACCTCTTTTTAGTCACATTTCAGTTTGAAGACTTTCATTTCAACATGCATTTTCATCACCTGGGTTACAGTAACTACCATTCTCATTAAACATGAAGGGAAAGTAACAGCTAAAATGACAAATGGAGCATCTGCTTAGTATTATGGGACAATTTCAATATGAAAATAATCAGTAATGCCAAGTAACACATAGAAATTATAAAACCTGTGGAAATTATTTTATAGTTTAGCGGTTCA